GGGAGGGGGTGTAGGGGCTGGAGGGGGTTACAGAGATAGGGAGGGGGTGTAGGGGCTGGAGGGAGTTACAGAGATAGGGAGGGGGTGTAGGGGCTGGAGGGGGTTACAGAGATAGGGAGGGGGTGTAGGGGCTGGAGGGAGTTACAGAGATAGGGAGGGGGTGTAGGGGCTGGAGGGGGTTACAGAGATAGGGAGGGGGTGTAGGGGCTGGAGGGGGTTACAGAGATAGGGAGGGGGTGTAGGGGCTGGAGGGAGTTACAGAGATAGGGAGGGGGTGTAGGGGCTGGAGGGAGTTACAGAGATAGGGAGGGGGTGTAGGGGTTGGAGGAGGTGAGAAGGTGAGTGGTCACTGAAGGAAGGAGCTGAAATTTGGATTAAGTTTATTCGTCGCTCATTGACGAAGTGGGAACTCCAGCATATTTTGTGGTAAATGTATTTATTCTGCTTGTTCCAGGGAGAAGGCTCTGGCACTATCTGGACATCAAGGAATTGAAAAAGCCATGGACTGGTATGGAATGGCCCACTCACTCCAGGGGTTGGCATCATTTTGGACACAGGGTGAAGCTACAGCACTGCCCACTGCTACTGAACCTTGACAGGCTGCTGGAGGGCAGCCCCATAGTGTTTGGGGCTGGGTGTATGGGTACACACCACCAGCTCTTACGCCAGGGGTCGGAGAGTCAGTGCTGAGGGAGTAGGCACTGTCGGAGGGTCAGTGCTGAGGGAGTGCCGCACTGTCGGAGGGTCAGTGCTGAGGGAGCGGGCACTGCCGGAGGGTCAGTGCTGAGGGAGCGCCGCACTGCCGGAGGGTCAGTGCTGAGGGAGTGCCGCACTGTCAGAGGGTCAGCATTGAGGGAGCGCCGCACTGTCGGAGGGTCAGTGCTGAGGGAGCGGGCACTGTCGGAGGGTCAGCGCTGAGGGAGCAGGCACTGTCGGAGGGCCAGCACTGAGGGAGCGGGCACTGTCGGAGGGTCAGCGCTGAGAGAGCCTCACGCTGACTGAGGGAGGTTCCAGAGGTAGGGAGGGGTGTAGGGACCAGAGGCGGTACCAGACAGAGGGTTGGGAGTAGGTGGGGTTTGAAGATGTGGATGATGTGGTTGGCAGAGTGGGTGCCGGAGGAGAAGGGGTCAGGTTGCTGGGTGACGAGTTGCCAGGTTATGCCAACGAAGCCGTGTGTTTGCTCCCTCAGGCTGATCGAGCACGAAGATGACCCCACTCTAGACGAGCCGTACGTGGCCCCTCAGGGAAACGTCTTGGGAACGACAGAGAAACCGGAGATGGGAGCTGCAGAGGTGACTTTCGAAGGTATGTGGAATTTCCGTTTGTCCTCAGTCTGGCTGCTGGCTCAGGACCGTCCTGTCCCAATGAAAGAAATATGTCAGCTATTGCCTTCCACCTCCAGAACATCAATTGAATGTTATTGTTTGAGAAACGGCGAGAGTTCAGTCTGTTCAGCCAGGGTTTTGGGTTCAGAGCTCTCATTCTCAGAGTAAGGTCAAGGCAGGTTCAGTCGAGGGTTGACGCTGAGGGAGCGGGCTCTGTTGGAGGGTCAGTGCTGAGGGAGCGTTGGAGGGTCAGTGCTGAGGGAGTGCCGCACTGTCGAAGGGTCAGCGCTGAGGGAGCGGGCACTGTCGGAGGGTCAGCGCTGAGGGAG